AAAGACATTGATGCAAACTTTTTTTTGCTGAGTTTTCAGTGTGCAGCAGGAGTTTTGCTGGAATTCACCTTTTTTTTCTTTCTGAGGTGTCATCGTTGAGAAAGTGAAATTAAAAACCACTTCTGACTTCACATGCTCTCCTCATGTGACATTAATGTGTTTTTGTACATATTTAGTGTTACTATCGGTCACTTGCAGATTTCTAGGTTGGCAGAAGTGGTCACGACTTGTGCTGGCGCGTTTGTTTCATTTCTTTCCGTTAATCGCCGTCAGTGCATTTATAGTCAAAGCGATTATATTTGGAGCTGAGCACAGCTGGAAACATCTCCTATCTGGTGTTTCGTATATATAACAGAATAAACTGTGATCTAAACTCAGGAATCTAACAGAACAGAGTTGAAGTTCATGGTCATTTTGAAACACCAGAAACTGACCAACACCTATAATGTTCATTTATTTTGATTTAATTGTATAATGTTCTATGGGAGCTTGAAATTTAGTATTTTAAGATTGCTGCAAAATTTAACAGATGTTGTACTTTTTCCATCTAAAAAGCTTTTCCTCTTTACAGAATTCCGTCACATATGCTGTGTCCTCCCCACCTTGAGCAAATGATTGAATAAAACCTATGCAGGGTGCTTAACATTCTTTTCCCTTTACGTATGTGAAAGACTCTAAACATATTAGATGCTGGATAAATGTCAGATAAATATTCCATTTCATAGCTCCAGTGACGACACCTTTTCACTTTAAAAAACAAACATAAATTAATATATTAACAACCCTTCAGGAAACTAATCGAGGTTTTTCTCTGGTAAATCAGCAGAAATAAACGGTTATTTTAATGAAGATAAACAAGCGACCGTGTCGACATGTCAACACAAACCGAGGCACACACCTCAAAGGTAATGTTTACTCATGGTGTTGTGTTTCAGGTGCAGTGAGGAGGACGAACAGGCAGAGCAGCAGGCAGATGTCCTGCACGGGGGGAAGAACAACATGTGGACGTGATATCTGAAGGAACAATATGATGGATTTTTGACCGACACAATATCGTCTTCTTGTTGTTAAGAGATGGCTACTTTCGGGCAAATCATCTTCTACAGGTTTGGTCTTGAGCTTTACGTATGTTCTGTGCTGCTGGTGATTAAACTTGGAAAGTAACTAAGTAGATTTGCTCGAGTACTTGAGTACATTGTTTTAGCTATTTTTACACTTCGACTAAATTAAGTTTCAGAGGGTAGCTTTGCTTTTTATTTTTTTATTTTACTTCTTTACTTGCTGTTTTCTTTTTTTCTGGGGACCTTTCGCTTTTCAGAGTTTAAAATGTAAAACATTGTTGAGGACTTTCTGTATCTTGTTGTTCCAACAGAGAGGAATTTCCCATCTTAGCGTCCAGAACAGTTTCATGTAAATAACTCTGAATCATCCAGATCATCCAACACGTCGTCCTCCAATAACAACCTGATTCATTTGTCTTGTGACACTTTGCAGAGCGCTTGTTTCATGAAAAGACGTTTAAATAACACCTCAAGTCACTGCATTCTATTATTAAAGCACAATTTCAGAATTTCCTGCCGCCGCCATGCTTCATGTTATGATGCTGTCACCACATAAAGTACCGACTTTAACTCCAACCTTTTATTTTAGTTTATTTCAACGTTGTAAAATGACATGAATGTCAAATATCTGCTTTTGTTTTGACCATCAACGTATGAATAAATACTGTTCCCTAGATTTAGTAAAATATTATCTCTAATATGACAAAAGAGGAAAAATCTATCAGTTAATACTTTTAAAAATGATTCACTGCTTTAAGTAAAACTGTAATTTTATGGTCACACACTGTAAAAGAACAAAGTGCTATTTATAAGGATTGTCGTTATGTATAGGGTTTTTTTTTTCCTGTTTTCTTTTCTCTCAACTTTAAACTTTTTCTTTGAATTTACAAAACATTATCGGTAAAATAACAAAAGATGGAAATTCTGCACGATTACACTTTTGAAAGTTTAGATTTTTTTTCAGTGTTTGATGTACGATTTTCTTTCTGTCAAATACTGAAAATCATTTGTAAAATAACGACATTTTCTGCTGATTTAAATCGTGTAATTTTACAGTCAAACTTTGTCCAAGAACCAAGAACAAATTACCGTTGATAAAAACAATACAGAATACTGATGTGGTCAATATTTATAGATTTATTCCAGTTAACATTTTAATTCATACTTTTTTTTCTTCTGTGACTTTAATAGACTGTAATTGAACCAAAAAGCCAGAAGAGCTGCTAAATAACAGCAAATTTCTCCAGAAAAAGATCTTTAAAAAAAGGATTTATGTCTTTATTTATTGAAACCCTCCAGGAGGTTGGAAGTGGACCAGAGTAGTTAAACCAGTCAGACGCTGCTCAGTCATCAGTAAATAATTTTAACGATACAACACATGATTCTGCAGGATGAGCTTTAACTTTCAATAATCAGATTGCTGATGGAGAACTTCTGTATTCATACTTTTCCTTGTTGTTTGCAGCATGATCGGGCTCATCGTGGTGTTCGCCGCCATCATCGTGCTCACCTTGACTCTGGCCTTCACAGGTAGGAGGCCCGAGGGCATGCTGGGAGTTCTCACGTCTGTTTGTCTAAACTAAAAAGCACTTAATCCTTTTGGTGAACAACAAACCAGCAGGAGTTGACGAGCAGGTGCAGCTTCATGAGAGCTTTTTGGGAACATTTCTAGCTTCTGTTGGGGATCAATGATGCTGCTCATGTCTGTTACACAGTTAATTATTATTGACAGAGATTAGATGTGTCTATAAATAAGACTAGTTCTATATTTTTTGCACAAAGACCTGCATTCTATTTCCACATGCCATGTATTTAGGGCGGGCTGCAGGGTGGCGCAGTTGGTTAGCACTGTTGCCTCGCAGCAAGAAGGTCGCCAGTTCGCGACCTTCTTGGCACCGGGATCTCTCCATGTTCTCCCCGTGCAGCGTGGGTTCTCTCCGGGTTCTCCGGCTTCCTCCCACAGTCCAGAAACATGCTGAGGTTAATTGGTGATTCTAAATTGTCCGTAGGTGTGAATGTGAGTGTGCTTGGTTGTCTGTCTCTAAGTGTAGCCCTGTGATAGACTGGTTACCTGTCCAGGTGAACCTGCCTTCACCCTGAGTCAGCTGGGATAGACTCCAGCCCCCCATGACCCTAGTGAGGACTAAGCGCTATAAAGATAATGGATGGATGTTTAGAACTGTTGGTTTTCAGGGTGTTCTGGTGCCTTTCAGATAACTCCACGGTGGTGATGAGCAGCAACACCAAGCCGGTGGCCAACCTGGGCGAGGACGAGCTGCTCAGCTGCTACCTCCACACCAACACCTTCCAGGACCGCTTCAGGGACATGTCGGTCACCTGGCAGCGGACGGACCTGGAGGGGCTGGTCTACCTGTACCAGAACGCCGCGCCCGTCCTCCAGGACCAGGCCTCGCAGTTCAGAGGCAGGACTCACCTGTTCCCCGACGCCGTGATCGCCGGCAACGGGTCTCTGCTGCTGAGGAGCGTGAGGAGGAGCGACGAGGGGACGTACACCTGCAGCATCGGGTCGGCCGAGGGCCACGGCCGGGTCAGCGTCTACCTGAGGACGGCAGGTGGGAGGACTCGTCCTTCCACTTCACCGTCTGTTTGCTTAGAAGGAGTCTCTTCGAGGAAACTGGTTCCGTTGAATCCTCCCTGTTCAGCGTGAACGGCTGGAAAACAGACACTTAATAAATATGACAGAAAAAAAAACTATCTGTGAAACAATGACCCTTCAGCTGATTTAGAAACAATTAAACAGTAATTTCACACATTTTAGAAATCTGCAAAAATACAGCCGTCAACATGAAGTTATATAAATGTTACTGAATTTAATTTAGATGTAAAATGTTTATTTTTCTAAATTATATTTTTGTTCTTTTTCTATTGTTTGCTCATAAAGTCACATTATTTTACTGTATTTAAATGAAAATATTGTCATTTCACAGATATTTGTTTTTTTTTTTTAAGTATTGACAAATGGAAAATAATTTTAAAATAATAATAAGAATTCTAGAGATTTTTTCTATTTTGTTCATTTACAAATTACAATTTTTATAATTTTTATATGAATAATAATAATGAATAAGATTAACAGGTTCTTTTACAATGTTTGACTATGAATTGCACTTTTTTTTTTTTTACTGTTATTCAATGAGGAAAAAAAATATTTAAACCATTAATCAAATGCTAAATTAAAGAGGTTCACTTCTCTGGGTTAAAACAATTGTTGAATTAGAGGTGTGGGGTTTTTGTTTTTGTTCATTTTGCACTTTATTTACTTATTTTACAGACTCTACAACCACATGACTCACACCAGCTTCATCCTGAATCCATCGTTCTAACGTTCCACTCTTCTTCTTCTTCTTCTTCTTCTTCTCTCAGCTTTTTCGGCGCCGAACTTCACCTTCTCCAACAACACCCTGGTGGCCGAGGCCCAGCGCTGGTTCCCGAAGCCCAACGTCACCTGGTTCAACCAATCCGGGAGCGTCCTGAACGGGACGACGACGTTCGAGGTAATCGACAGCGGGATCTTCAGCGTGGTCAGCCGGCTGCAGGATGCCCACGTCTACGACTCGTACAGCTGCAGGATCGAGAACGAGCTGGTGTCAGCCACTTCTGAGGAAACCATCAAAGGTACACCAGCCTCACAACACATGTCCTTACATCTGGCCTTCTTCTGGTAACACCTGCTATGACGTGTGTGTATTTTTAATTTTACATTGAAGCACTTCCAGCTGCATAAACTGTGCCGTACAAATGAAGTGTTTTTATTTCACAGGCAGCGGTGTTTCAGGGAAAACATACATCACGTTCAGCGCTGCGTCGTCCCTCCTGGCGTCACTTTACCTGAACATTATCCTCTGCATCTGTCATGTGACCTGATGCACGTCCAACAGTTATGTTATATGTCACACTGTATGTACAGGTTGTGTTGGACTCAGTCCTGTTTAGGTGGTCTTGCTGGCATTTAACTCTGTGGTGCAATAACTTAACGGTCAACTTACAAATCCCAGATCGCCATGAGCCTGACTTTTGTTTGCTCTTGTTCACATAGTTCAGATAGTCTCAGATTACAGGAAAAGAAATGGAAGCTGCTGTGAAAAGAAAAGCAGTCGAGTCAACCAGTGATGTTTCCTGAAGCGTATGTAGCTGAATGTCTGGAACTCAGTGTTTATGTGCTGAAATCTGATGCTCAGCTCCAGAACTAAAAATACAGCTTTGGTTGGTCGCTTCAGCTCATCGTCTTGCTGGAAAACAAATCTTCTCAAAAGCAGAAGTTCTCTTGCAGACGGCATCAGGTTGTCCTCCAGGATTTATTTTACCTCCTACCTTGATGAGCCTTCCAGGGCCTGGTG